TTTTTGGTTCCTCCCTCGAGCGAGAGAGTCTTCGCTCGAGCGAGCTTCGCAGTCCTAGATTTCTATAAGTACGAGTTTTTGTCAGATTTTAGGATTACTTCTCCAGATCTTCTTCTTGGGTTCTAGGGTTTATATCTGGGGATATTTTGCTAGTTTTCTTTGATGTTTAATTGAGTATTCAACTCATGGGTTAAGAAGAATACATCAAAGGTTCGTTTGTTCATTCTATACAAAAGAGAGAGTTGTTCTTCGGTGGATTATAAAGAATTTGAGCCTGAAGCTTTGGTGGATTCTGGAGTGGCTCATCATCAAGACAATTCTGAGGTGAAGACGGGGTTGGAAGAGACACATAGAGGTTGGATCAATTCGGGCGTGGATTTACTAGGTAATTGAGAGTATACTTGTGTAATTCCTTTATATCTTCTTAGTGGATTGTTTTATGGCTGTTGGCGTGATTTTTATATCACAATTGGAGGTGTCCAATTGTGGTTTTTTCACGTAAAATCGTTGTATTGATTTGTCTTGATTGTTTGATTGTGATTGTTATATACTGCTTAAAATTGATACATAATCACAAATCAACATCTAGGGGATTTCTAGATTTTTCATATTGTCGTGCGACTTTTGTGGAAGAGAAATGATCAATTTATACTTATCATGTGAAAGAGGTTGTTCCAGTTGGTGAGCAAATGAAAAAAGTGGAATTTGTTCTATACTGTAATTCCATTGAATGTGACATCCAATGTATGTGTCGGTAGTTTGAGTTTAGGGGCATTATGTGTGCCCATTCACTTAGTGTGCTCCTTGAGAGGTCCATATATGAGGTTCTAGATAAATACATTATGCTGAGATGGAGAAAAGATTTGAAAAGAGGGTACGCATGCATTCCTACCACATACACTACATATGAGGCTGTTCTGAATGTAAAGGCGCATGATAACTACTACAAGACAATGGATGAAATTATAGAAATTGCTTCCAACGATGATGCCAAGCACAAAGTCATTTAACTTGGGTTGATAGAAATCAAGGATAGAGTGAGACAGGTTGAGGTGGATTGTGCGAGTAATGTGCCACCTTCTACTAGTGGTGTCCCACCTTCTACTAGTATTGTCTAACCTTCTAATACTTCCCCCGAAACTTAGGCCAGTCGCAGTTCTACAAATGCAAACATGACTTGCAAGGTGCTTAGTCCGATGGTTGCTCGCCGAATAGGCCGTCCATGTACCAAACGGAAGGTTAGCAAGTGGATGAAATAGTAAATCGGTTGAAAGGAAAGAATAAAGAGGCATCAAAAGTACAGGTAAATTTTTTATTTTGTTTGATATGTAAATCTTAGAATTTTGTTTACTTCAACCACTCACCAATGTGTGTTCCTATAGGGTCGTAATTTGATTTTTGTTTCTATGGATGGAATGCAAGCGAGTCCATGTATTGATAGCACATAGGAGAGTATGTATGTACTGGTATGTTTTAAAGATATGACATGAATTTTTTTGCTTATTTTGATTGGCAAATATGTTTGTCACAAAATTTGTTCATATTATTTACTTTGTCATTGAATAGACACGAGGTAGCCTAATGCAAATGGTGGATAATATTGGAAGCGGATCTCTTAGTCATTCAGGAAAGGTGACCAATACAAGTAGTCAAAGTGGACCAATTGCTGCAAAATTTGTTGAGTTGAATATAGATGAGGATCTAAATGCCCCTTTATATTTCTAGTTTTTTAGTAGTAATTTTAAGACTTTGTTTTGTAAACTTTCGATGCTTTGGTTTGTTTAGGATACAATCAAGTCTCATCATTTGTAATGTAATGGTTTAAAGTGATTTTGGATCCAATCAAGTCTCATCACTTGTTTTGTTAAGTTCTATTACAGGTCTGAGCATAGCTTCCTGTAGGTTATGTTTTTTCGATTCTGTTGATGCTCACAGGTAGTGCTGGTTGCTGCTCTTCTACTCTGCTGAGCATCTGCTACACTGCTATACTTTGATGCTGATCTGCTATGTTGCCCGTTGTTCTGCTGTGCTACTATAGGCTTTGTGACTGTGTTGCTGTACCGCTGTGTTGTGCTGTTAAGCTGCTGCTGCTGAGTTGCTGCTGTGTTGTTTAGGTTCCCTATTTTTGTTATAGATATAGCTGTTGAATAGGTGTTGGTTGGATGTTTGAACAGATATAGATTCTGGATGTTGAACAGTTTAATTTATTTTTGTTATAGATATGGATGTTGAATAAGTGTTGGTTGGATATTTGAACAGATATAGATTCTGGATGTTGAACAATTTTATCTATTTTTGTTATAGATATGGATGTTGAACAAGTGTTGAACACATATCTATTGTCTTGAACAGATATAATCTATTTTTGTTATAGATATGGATGTTGAACATGTCTTGAATAGATGTTTGAACAGATGTTCAACAACAGTTTAATCTATTTTTGTTAGACATCTGTGTCGTTAGCCTTTTAGTTTAGGTACAAGTATTTCTTGATAAATCAATTGCAAAACCCATATGCATTTCTTCATAACTTTTTTTGTTCACATCAGAACTCACAACAAAAACAGTAAATCATAGATAGTTGAAGAACCCAGCAACAAAACTCCACTATTGTAACAACCCTCGTCACTGTTTATCGATTAACCACTAATTACTGCTAAACTGAGACTGATTATGATTGGTAACTGAATTGATTGAAGTACTGAACTGACTGACTAAAATCTGGAACTGAATTGATTAAGTATATCTGTTTAATTGTATGTCTATCTGTTGACTGTTTGATTATCTGTTCATGCCTTTGTGTTTAACTACAAATTGAAGGCCTTATCGGCGGCAGAACCAAAAATTGATTAGTGTTTCATGATCAGTAGAATTTATGTGATTTAATGGTGTAATTATCTAAAAATCGATTTGGTATGATTAAATTAAGCTAAATGGTGTTATATTGCATAGTTTGACTTAATTACATTAGTGCCACTTAGTGGCCACTACCTTATACATTTTGAGACTTGTATACATTGAACCAAAACATTTCCTCAGCCTTATTTGAGAGCTCTAGCCGACCAAGAGAGAGTGAAAGTGAGAGTAGTGAATTCAACATAGAGATTTGGCTTGAATCTTGAGGAATTGAAAGCTTAAGTGCATAATTGAGCCTCTAGACTTGTAATTGAGGAACCTAGGTATGAATTTCCTTCTCTTAATTGTGGTAGATTAAAGAGTTAAGTCATGAATTGGTTCAAAAGTGTTGAATTGAAGCTTAATTATTGCATGCATGGTATACTCTTGCATTTTAGAGCTTGTTCTTCATAAATTTGCCACATGCATGTCCATGTTTTGATCATAAACCATGTTTTCACCTTGTCTTTGAAAATATCGGCTCATTAGAGCATGAATTGAAGCTTTGAAATGGTTTAAATTCATGCATGTTATGTTTGAATTATGTTCATGAAAATTGGTTTCAAATTGAGTTGAATTGATCTTCCTTTTGGGCCTTGATTTTACAAATTGAGCTTTGAATCATGTCATTCTATGTATTTACAAATGTTTTCTAGGGAAAAGGGCCCAAAGGAATTGGTTTTAATGCATTTGAACTTGGTTTGAGCTTGGAAGTTCAAATCTAGAAATTTCAGATTTTGAACTTACGCTCGAGCGGGGTTACTGGCGCTCGAGCGTGAAATTCGTGCTCCCAGTACTTTGCACTGTTTTGATGTCCGCTCGAGCGGAATAATTGACGCTCGAGCGGGACATTGTGTTTCATGCTCAAGCGGGTGTCGAGCGCCCAATCGAGCGTGATTTTCACACATCCAGTACTTTTGCCCTGTTTTGCAGAACGCTCAAGCGTGAAAGTCTACGCTCGAGCGGATACCTTTGTCTGCATGTCCGCTCGAGCGGGACCTCTGTTTTTTGAAAATTCTAAAAATGTTTTCTGAATGCATCTTTGCATCCTCATCCCATCCTAGGCATTCTTAGGCCTAGTTTAAGACATCTTAATGAGGATATAGATGTAGAACACACTGAGGCAAATTAAGGGTTCAGTTATTATCTTTCCCAACTGTGTAGCCTAGTGTGTGTTCAATCTGTAACTGTGTAGGGTTGGTGACTGGGGACGCGCTCTAGCTTTACTGTAGCTCAGAACTCTGTGAGTAACAACTGTGTAAAGATATGTTCAAAATGATTATCTTCTGAACAAATGAACTGTACTGCTTTCTGAACTGATAATGTTAATTGAATGAATGTATGTCCTATATTCTGAACTGTATTGTGGCATCCTTAGCAACTACTGTTTACCGTTACTGTTACAGAGTTCTCTGTCGGTTCCCTTGTTGGAACCACTACTGTTTACTGATTGATGGCCATCATTTACTGTTCGGTCTTTTAAGACCTACTGTTTACTGTACTGTTATGCTAATGGATGTACTACATATGACTGAATGACTGATATACCGAATTAACGAACTATTTTCATTACTGTAAGGACATTCATTCTTAACCTCTTTACGCATTACGTTATTCACTAGGCTTTAGCTCACTGCTCATATATATATATATATATATATGTAGGTGTACAGGCACCAGACCGCGACTAGAAACGTCGGGGTTAAGCTCCAGTTTTGTCAAGCCAACCACTGTGCCTCACTGCGAGGTTCCGAGCCTGTCAAGCTAAGGCTATGGGGTGTTTTAGTCGTCCCCCTTCTGTTCTGTTTTGTAAACTGTATAGACTGTTACCGTACTGTTTAATAGGGATTAGGTCCCTGAACTGAATTATTGTATATACGTACATACTGTTCTGTTCTGTACTGTTCATGTATATGTGTATGAAAAATCTTTTTGGCATACAGACTGTCACAGCTCATTGGACATTGTTTATTTACTGTATTGGCTTTCGCCAGCCCCTGTACTCGGTATTACTGTTCTACTGTTAAGCAGGCCTTCGGTAATCTCAGATTACTGGCCGATTACGGTACTAAACCCATAGGGGCAGGTTTGGGTCGTGACAACTATTAAACACAAAACCAGCACAATAACATTTACACCCAAACAAAAACTCCACTGTTGCTTTGCTATAGATGGTTCAAGAACACAAAACTAGCATAATAACATATACACCCAAACCAAGAACTCTCTAAAACTCTCAAAGCCAAATGTATAAGTTTACAACATTCATTTTAACACTAAACAAATTAACAACATTAGCATGTTAAAACCAATATATACTATGCTTGCCATTGTAAGGAATTTCATAGTTCCTACATCTGCCTCAAGCCACTCCAATCTTCGCTCCAATTTGTCCAAAGCTTCATAGTTTCTTTCAAAATCATTCATTCCGCCATCTTCATTGTTCCTATGATTAGGATTAGGCCTCCATTGGATATTTGATGCATTGCCAAGTTGGCTAGTAGGCGCCCACCACGCAAAGTAATCGCACTTGCCATCTGCACACTTGAAGTAAAGCCTCCCTGGATTTTTCGGTGAGTCTGATACCTTAATGGCCTTTTTTTTGTCACATTTGCAACCTCGATTTTCAAAAAGACGACCATCGTTGCTTGAACTAGTCGAGGTGTAAGCCATTGACATGTTACTCCTAACACTAGCATTTTCATAAATAATTAGTACATTAGTCAGCAAAAACAAAAACAACAGTAATAACGTGAAATGGCCCATGGATGCACAAAGCATTTCATTGAGGCATTTTATCATACACTTTCAATTCTCACACATGCCTTCAATTCATCATTTCAATAGGTTGATTTTTCTTCCAAAATCACAACACATTTCAGCATGTTTAAATTACTAACAAGTCTATTTGAACAAGTTTATTTTCATAACATTTTTTTGAAGACCTAGGTTCATTTCATGTACCAAGAACTCCACTGTTGACAAGTCCAAAACAGCAAACCAATAATGTTAAGCTTGGAAGAAGGTTTCAACAATCCATGGAAAATTCACAATGAAACAAAATAGAGCAAGAAAAACAACAAATAATGGGCATGGAAAATTCATAATCAAACAGAGCAAGAAAAACAAAAAATAATGGAAAATTCACAATGAAACAAGAAGAAAATTGATAACAACTTCATTTTATACAAGAAGAAAATAAGTAAGCTGGGAATTGAACAAGTCTATTTTCATAACATTTTTCATTTCATGTACCAAGAACTCCACTGTTGACAAGTCTAGAACAACAAACCAATAATGTTAAGCTTGGAAGAAGGCTTCAACAATTCATGAAAAATTCACAATGAAACAAAACAGAGCAAGAAAAACAACAAATAATGGGCATGGAAAATTCATAATGAAACAAAGCAAGAAAAACAAAAAATAATAGGAGGATTTAAAAATGCAACATTTTTTTGAAAAATCACATAGCAACGCCGCCGGAAAAGGATTAATAAAAAAAAATTTCAAAAAATCTGACCTTTTCTTGGTTGTCAATAAAGGAGATTTGGGGATCTAGAGCTTGGGAATAGAGGAGATCTGGGGATCTAGGGCTTGGGTAAACAAAGCACCGTCGCCAAAAAATACTGAAAGCCTTCCACCGCCGGCCGATGGGTTGGCTAAATTCACTTTGCTTGGTGGACCGAATCAATTTATAGGTTTCAATAGAGAGAGAGATGGAAGCTTCATTTTTGGGTTTGAGCCTTCGTTAATGGGTTTGTTCTATTTTGTGGGGTTGAATACAGTAAAATAGAAGAGAGGGCTGAGCGTAGAGCGTGAATCACATGCGTCGAGGCATTCGCGCCTCACTTTGTCGAGGCACCAATCATTTTTCATAAAACAAATTCAAAAATTCAAATTACTTTTGAAAACTTTTGAAAAATCTTTTTTTTGTTTGCAATACATACAATGAATACAAACAAGGAATTCAAGATCGACAAAGGAGGACGATGAAGGAGAAAAAAAGAGTGAACTTCGCATTTGGACTTCCATAATAGAACAAAGTGAATTTGTTCAGTTCTGAAAGTCTGAACAATAATGACGAAAAATGAATTGAATATTCTCTTTTATGTAAAACAGCACAGATATCAATAATTTTACTTTGATATATGAATGAATATTTATCTCCTCTTTAATGGATTGTTTTAAAAAATTATTTTGATTATTACCCTCATTCATTATTTAATTTTGTTCAAACTTTATTCTATTTGCAAGTAACAATATAATAAAAAAAAACATTGAAATTGAAGATAATGATGAGTTTTGGTAGGGTAACTTAGAGTTTTGGAGAGAGGAAGAAAAAAAAGAGAAGAAAATAATTAAAACTTGAGAAATAAGATGAAGAGATTTGAATAAGAATAATATGTATAATTGATTAAGATATATCATGAAAAAATTTATTTCAAAATTTAATATATACTATCCTTATTAACAAATTTATATTAAAATATAATAAGAATTAAAAAATTTAAATTTAAGGTTGCGTTGGGTTTAGTTTTAGAATTATGATTTGAAAATGGAGTTGCAATTTGAGTTCGTGAGTTTTTGAATTATGATTTGAAAAGAGAAAATTTGTTTGGTTATGAGTTTTGAAAAGAATTTTGAATGAATTTTAAATTAAGTTTTGAATTTTTGAAATGAGAAAAGTTATTTGATTATGAGTTTTGAAATAAGTTTTCAAAACTTAATTAAAAAACTTATAACTCATAATCAAACACACAACTCAAAACTCTATTAAACTTTATATTGAAAACTCACAATCAAACTCTTTTTATAATTCAATTAAAAAATAATAATTATTGCAAAAATATTTTTTTTATTAAAAAAATTTTAAAAATTTCAAAAATGTATTTTTATTTAAAATATTAAAAATATATATATTATTTTTTGTTAAAAAAAATATTCAGCTAGCGTTTTAAAATTACTTTTGATTGTATATTTAGTTGAAATTTTTTTCTTAATTGCTTTGTTTAAAAATGTTTTTTTATTTTTTAAAACTTATTGTGGCAAATTAATTTTTATTAATTTTTGTTAATTTTAAATAAATGGCCAAATAATTTGTCATTTTGGTTTAAAAAAATAATTTATATATTTAAAAAATATCAAAAACAAATATGTTTTTTCTCAAATAACAAGTGGCGATTGACAATTGCTAAAAAAAAAAACGAGTTTTGAAATATGGTCTTAAAATTAATTTTTAAAAGCTTACATAAAATAAAATATTAAAACATAAGTTAAACCATACATAGCCTAAATTTAACAGCTTGTGGGTTCAAATAGAATGGCGCCCGTTGAATCGAAAAGACAACCTTGTCACTCCAACTGGCTTTTGTATTAGTTCACTTCAGACACGGATTTTTTTGTGACTTTTCAGTGTATGCCTTTCGCCACTCCTTTGCTAAAAAACACCAAAGAAACCCCCCAAAACAACTTCATATATATATATATATATATATATTTACAACCAAACAACTCAAATTCAACATAATAAAATTATATTAAAATAATAATAATATATGTGTAATCTTTAATCCTATTGGATTAAATTAAATTTGATTAAACTTGAAAATAAAGCTGTTTTTTTTAAACATAATATTTGTCTTTAATATTTGTTCTTTTAGTTTAAACATAATATTTGTCTTTAATATTTGTGCTTTTAGTCCTTTTTTTTTTTTTTATAGTGTTTTTGGTAAAAATTATAATAACAGTTCGATAGGTATGTGAATACATGTCATTTTCCTCCTTGAATAATTCAACACGAAGTCTCAAACACGGCTTTGAATGCGCTCCACCCATCTCCCTGCCAAATGCTCCCCCACGAACGTGACAGCCTGCAAACAATTTTTAATTTTTCTTTTTCATTTTGTATAATATTTTACTCTCAAGGCCAAATTTGATTTTCCAATGAATTTAAATAGATATTTTTTAAAAAAAAAAAAAATTAAATGAAATATATTTATATTTCACATATATTTTACATAATTTTTTGGTTTTTTTTTTCCTTTTTAAATCTATACTAAAATTCATAATCTAAACACCATATAAATGATGAGATTTCTAATACTGTAACGATATCAAATTGGAAAAATGAGATTAGTTATATATGTTTATATACTAATGTTGTATGATCTTACTTGGTTGAAATGAAATTTTAGGAATTATATAAAAATCTCAATACTTAATGATCTTTAACCGTCAAATCTATGGGACTGGATTGTAAATTACAAATCCTCATGAAAATGTTAACAATTCTATAATGCTCTTATTTTCATACCATTTTTACAATTTGATGATACTACAGGTCCCTGAGGAACGAGTCAGGTTGATCCGTACTTCCCGCACCGTTATCTGATCGCTGGGCCCACTGAGAAACTTGCACAAGAGTCCAATGGAAAACGAGAGTCCCCCAGCGAACCTTCCGACGAGCAAGTCAGAGAAGAAAGATTAATGGAATATAGAGATAGGATGGTGATAAAGAACTTAACCTTCTTTTTGTTTTAGAAACCTGCTTATATCCTTTGTTCATCATTTCCTTGTTCACTCCGACCTGTCATGTTGGCCGAAAGCCTATGTTTTAGTTTGCCTTGTTCATGGTGAGGCTGTTTTGTCCCAACGTGAAAGGGTTCTCGCATTAAATGCTGTGGGGAACCTCATTAATGGCTGATATGTGGTGCAATAACTCTGCAGGATTTTTGTCTGCTTATGTGGCTGGTTCTTCTTTTGACAAGTGTTTAGATGTCATTGGTCCTTGGTGCAACGTTGGGCTCCAGCAATGTTAGGCTTTAGTGTTTGAATTATATATTAGGCTCTAAGTGGTGGGCCAAAAGCCCCTATGGGCCCACCTATGTCAGTAGTCCCACATTTCTAAGTGCAACTTCAGTCCAACGAAGGGAATAAGGAAGAAGACGGGGGTTGTGAGAGGTCAACGAAGAGAAGACCGACTGAGAGATGGGCCGACCGCGAAGGGTGACCGAGTGAGAAGGCCGATTGCGAGGAGGGCCGACCGGGAAGGGTGACCGAGGGAGAAGGTCGACTGCGCGGAGGGCCGACTGCGAAGGGTGATCGAGGGAGAAGGCCGACTGCGCGGAGGGCCGACTGCGAAGGGTGACCGAGTGAGAAGGCCGACTGCGAGGAGGGTTGACCGCGAAGGGTGACCGAGTGAGAAGGCCGACTGCGAGGAGGGCCAACCCGAAGGGTGACCAAGTGAGAAGGCTGACTGCGAAGAGAGCCGACCGCGAAGGGTGACCAAGTGAGAAGGCCGACTGCGAGGAGGGCCGACCCGAAGGGTGACCGAGTGAGAAGGCTAACTGCGAGGAGAGTCGACCACGAAGGGTGACCGAGTGAGAAGGCCGACTGTGAGGAGGGCCGACCGCACCGAGGGAGAAGACTGACTGCGAGGAGGGCCGACCGCGAAGGGTGACCGAGTAAGAAAGGGAATGGCGGCGTGGGGGCTCGAGACGCGGCGTGGCATGTGATGATGTGAAGTGGAATAGATATGGAAGGGGAAGAGAGTAGTGAATCGTAGTCGTACACGTGGCACAATCCTATAATAAGGAAAGTGATACGTTAGTAGGAAATTAAGGGATAGACTGATATAGGGCGTTGAAGAAATGGGGGCGAAAGTTTTCGAAAATTTTCAAACTGGCGAAATTTAATCTTGACCCTTGGAATATAGGCAAACCGTGGCCATTTGGAGTTATTCGCTTTATTTACCTTATTGCAAAAAACCAACACATCCCAGAGGTGAACTCATTTGTTTCGTGTGACACGCCTCTGCAACATTTTGCAAACCTCCTTATGCCAGCGTCCGAAGTGATATGTAAACATGTAGGAGGAATGGCTCGAGATGAAGTGCCAGCCGCAAGGCTTGACTCATTGGGAGATGACGACGCAGTGGAGTTGGAGGAATAGTATCGAGTGGAGCGAAGAGAGGAGGGGGGAACTGGACAAATGGCGCGGGCTCGTCCGATGACAATGATCGCAGCCGCTAGGCCAATTAGCCAAGTGGAGCCGGACCACTGGCATACCAAAGCCAACAAATCTACGTTTACGGCGGAGGAGTTGGAGGAGGTACGGAGGAAGTATCAGATTCTTGTGGAGATAGAGCTGAGGTTGCCCACACCAAAGGAGAGAGCGTCGGATACGCGGCCAACAGAGTTCACGTTGTACGAGGAGGCACTGCGCCGAGGAGGGCTAAGGCTACTACTCCCCCCGAATAGTGGTGGACGTACTTAACAAGCTAGAGGTGGCGCCAGGGCAGTTGATGTCGAACGCTTGGAAAATACTAATGGCCTGCGCGAGCGCCTGGCCGCAGGCTACCGAAGGGGCAGCAATGACAGTGGAGGAATTCTTCTCTTGTTACAAGGCCTCCGGTCAACAGGAGACGCGGGTGACCTTGCAGGCAGTGACGGGCCGGGGTCTAGTGGCAGGCTTGCCATCTTAGGTGGAGGCTGAGATGGTTTTATGTATCAGCGAACGGTGGGAGAGGAGTTCGCACAACATGGAAAGTCCCCACAAAATCGGTGGAGCCAAAGTTAGATGTGGAGGACAAAAATAGGGTGAAGAAGGTGAAGAAGTGGAGGGAGGAGAAATGGGTGAAATGGGATGAGCTGATCCTTCCTTCAACTCTTTTTGCTTTGAGACTGGGACCGCAGCTGACAGAGGAGGATTCGGCGAGGGAGGAGCTGGAGGCGCAGAGGAAGGTAGAGGAGGCGGAAGACAGGAGAGTGTTCTCCAAAGCAGACAAGTATAAGGAGACACAGTTGGGGCCTGCCCCTAAACTGGTGATGAGGGAGCGGGTCCGACCGTGTCCCAAACCGTTGGGAGACAAAGACTTAACTGACTTTGCCCCACTGCTGGCCCCAGCAAATCTGCTACCTCATCCACATATTACAATCACAGCATACTTCATTCACATAAAGTATTACAATCTGTGATTTTTAAAATATAAAAACAATTCAAATCATAAAAATCATGAATAGAGCAGTAGTAGAGATTGTATGCCTCTG